CAAGTGCCTTAGGCACTATGCCACTAGAGCTCCAGTCTTAGTCTAGCTCCCAAACCCGTTCAGCATCCCAGCAACACACAGGCCTCCACTGACGGTGGGTGGTGACCACGCACAAGGTGCACTGACTGGGAATTGAACCCGGGTCTCCCATGTAAATGCTGCTGCGAATTCTACCAGTGAATCCCTGCCACCCCCATTTTAGGAAGTGGCACAATCCCAACCAAGGGATTAATGTACAGAAAGGAGGAGGGAGGGAATCTTTGACGTTTTGCCCACAGTGGCCTTTGGATTTCACACGACAACCTGCGGACCGGATGCTGGTGAGGTCAGACTGCACTGGCAGTACCTTTTCTCACAGCCATCCCATGTGCAGGGCAGAACGTGTGAGCCACCTCCAGGTGTGTTTAAACTACCAAACTTTCAGTTAGTCCTCAAGAGCTTAACCAATTCTATCACCCAACAATGTCACGAGGAGGAATCGACTTGGTGGCAACTGGTTAACCATCTCTGTTCGTCCTGGGGAGCCATCAGGGACAGCTGACTTTCAGGCTGAGAAACACCCATGCCTGTGCCGGGCCTCCACGGTGCAGTGGTTCAGGCATTTGGCTGCTAACCAAAAGGTGGCAGCCTAAATGTTACCAGACCAAACGCAGGTTCCTGGCCAGTGCACAGTCAGGCCAAAATAGTTTACACACCGAGATTGAGAGGAGAGAAAATTATTTATTGCAAAGCTGCATTGTCAGGAGTCGGTAGCCGAGTACCCAGATCTAACTTCCCCAGATGCCCTCAAACACAGCCTTTGTAGTTTCAGGAGAGGGCCTTATATTCACAAAAGGTTGAGGAATTTGGGGTGTGAACTGAAATGGATGAGTCACACTAGTTTTCCGTTATCATCTGATCTGATACGGGCTTGGGCAGAGGGGAGAGGGTCGGCAATTAACTTGCTCCTTTCTGCTCTTCCTTGCTGCCCTATTGTGCATGTTCTGGGCCAGAGTTAATTTGCCAGTTGTTTCTAAGACACTTCCTTTCTGCCCTATTGTAGAGGGCCAGAGTTAATTTACAAGTTGTTCTGAGATGATTTTAGCAGTCTATCATCTGCAGGAAGGAATGTTTTCCATTCAGTTCTTTAAGGAACTGAATACTCATTTGTCCAGGGTGAGGGAAACAGTTTTTACTTTACAGGGTTTCAATGACCCAGCGCCTGCTGCACAGGAGAAAGATGAGGCTGTGTGCTTCTGTGAAGATTGACAGCCTTGGGAAAGAGAGCGAACCAGGATGCACGCGGGGAAAAAGTGCGGACTCTTTGCCGTGTGCCCTGGCGCCGATTCCGACCCAGAGCAACCCCGCAGGACAAGAGAACTGCTCCACAGGGTCTTCTGGGCCGTAATCCTGACGGCAGCAGGTCGCCCGGCCTTCCTTCTGTGAAGCCACCCAAGAGTCACTTGGAGCACTCACGAACTCAGGTTTCTAGACTTTCATCAGTAAACAACGGTGGAGACAATCAACCAGACCCGTCCTCTCGGACCATCTTCATGATTCTGTAAATCCTTCTTGTCCGTAATTCCCTGCCTCAGCTCGGATGCTACCGTCTGGCGCCAGTGCACCGCGGACGGGTTCCCGGAGAACACGGGCAAAGGTCTCCGGCCCAGGACTCCCCAGGCCGAGCCTCCACCTCTGCAGACCTCCGGCTTCAGTCTTGCCTAGTACGCTCCCCTCCCCCATTCTCTTGGGGTTCACCGCGTCTTCCCAAACGGGGTTCCGGTGGGACGCGTTCCCATCCGAGGTGCCCAACCCTCCCCTCCTCTGTGCAGTCCTGCCGACCGCCCCCAGCTGCCCCACTTGGCGCAGCGCCCTATCCGTGGCCTAGGTCGCCTTCCGCAGGGCCTCATCTCCACCTTCTGGGTCACTGTCGTCCAGGCCATTCCTGCGCCTGCGCACTGGAGCCCACCAGAAGCAGGGGCAGCCGGTCAGTCGTGAGACGGGCCGTACAGAAGCGTCCAGGCGGTTACTGTGATTAGTATCCACACGGCCAGGAACACCACAAACCGAGAAGTACGTTACTCTTTCCGTATTTCATTGCTCCGCCCCCGGGGCGTGACGTCAGAGCGCTGCGCCGGCGGCGCGCCGTGTTGCGTCATCGAGCTGCGCCGTGCCGTGCCGAGTTCCTGGTGCCGGCGCGCTATGGCGGAGGTGGGCAGGGTGGCCGTGGGCGACCCCTGTGCGCTGCTCCCGGGGGGCTTCTGGGCCGCCATGGCCGTGTGGCTGGAGAGGCCGCAGGTGGCCAACAAGCGTCTGTGCGGCGCCCGCCTGGACGCCCGCCGGAGCGCCGCCCTGCCCCGTGCCAGACAGAACGCAGGCTCCGAGCCGGAGGAGCGGGAGCCAGGACCTGACCCGCGGGCCCCCGAGGGCAGCCCGAGCCCCAGGCCGCGAGCGAGAGCCGAGGAGGGCACGGCGGGGCGCGTACCCGGGGATCCCGGGCGGCCGAGCAGGGCTGGGGGCGGCGGGCACGGCTTCCCCGCGGCAGACCTGGATTCTCTCTGGGGGGATTTCTCCCGAAGCCTCGCCAGCGACAGTGGGGAGATGCTGGCCTTCCTTGCCGGTTCCGAGGCTGGCTCGCAGGAAGACGCGCCGCGCGAACTCGACGTGCTGCTCAGAACCATCATCCCGAAGACAAAGCCTCGGTGCCCGCTCACTGCTCCCAGGACAGAAATGGTCGTGCAGGGTAAGAGTGCTTGCGATAGCGGTTGATGCATGGACAGGAGGAAGCGGCATTCGCTAAGCCTGCAGTCCACGAGGCGGCATTAAAGATACGTGGTGTGTGCTGCCTCTTTGCTGCACTCTTAGCGACTTTGTGGTGTTTTTTTTTTTCTTATTTTTTCCACGGCACAGGAATGTGTGTCTTTAGTACAATGGATGAAAAGGAGCCCTAGTGGCACAGTGGTTAAGTGCTCGTCTTACTCCAAAGGCAGGTGGTTGGAATCGACCAGCCATTCTGCGAGAAAGCTGTGGCAGTCACCTTCCATGAGACAGCCTTGGAGACCACATGGTGCAGTTCCACTCTGTCCTCTAGGGGCTCTGGGGGTCGGAATGGACTCTACAGCAGTGGGTGTGGTTTGGGCTTTGCTTCTGTGAAGACTGACAGCCTTGGAGACCCTGTGGGCAGTTCCACTCTGTCCTCTAGGGG